AAAAAAAAAAAAAAAAAAAAAAAAAAAAAAAAAAAAAAAAAAAAAAAAAACCCCTTAAAAAAAGAGTGTTCCGCTATGTATGTTTCTCAATTCCTGTTCATGCATTTGAGTCATTCTATCGCGTCACCATTGCCCGGGCTCCTCAAATGGCGGGTTCGAACCTTTGGTTCCCTAAAGGATCAGGCTGGTATAGTGGAACCGAACCTGACAGCTTGCTTGGTGAGAAACATACCCTTGAATTCAAGAGAGGTAATGATTTTTGGACCGTGATAATAGGGGTATGACGATGAACCACACACTGTCTGTGAGTGCTTGATGATTCTTACTGACAAACCGCTGCTCCCCAGAATAGAAGGAGCCTTGTGTGTTTTGTCAAAAAAAAAAAAAAAAAAACATAAACACAAAAGAGAAGGGGTAGACGAGTGAATATTGAACCTATAGATGGCATTCATAGACAAAGGTCTGAGACAGACTCTCAGATGGAATCCACTGCAGCACACACTGAGGGAGGGTGTTCTTTTGGAAAGAGCTATCTTCCACAAAGAGTGGTCTTGATAATGCGAGCAGAAAGGCACATAGACTCACAGTAATATTTGCTGGGCCTGGGGAGCTCCTTGCCCTCGTAGTTAAGCATGTGACTTCCACCGAACTTGCTTCAATTACTTTGCATATGTCTCTCCCTATTGTGATTTCATTGTCAGAAACCTTATCACTGAACCCAAGCCCTGAAAAGATGACAGTAGTCCCTCCTCCCATGCCTCCTGACCTTGGAGTAACGCTGTTGAATATGAAAGGCACATCCAGGACTGCAACCTCGGTTGATGCAATCAGAGACCTGTAAAGTTCAGATCTGCTAGGATACATCATGGACTTGTATGGTGATCCCAGGATTCGCGGCCCAACACTCCTGCCGATACGAGGAATATGAACAACTACTGGATGGATGCCAGCCATCATCCCTGGGAGATCACAGGCTAGTGATCGGTTATCAACTGCATATTCTAGGAATTGAGAGTCGACTTCAGGCTCGTCCATGTCATCGTCTTCCCCCATGTAATCCACATTGGGCGGTGGAGGATTTCCCGCATGCGGTGGTGATGGTGGGGTATTTTCACTCCCGACCTGTTGGTTTTCTGGAGCAGCTTCTGGTGAACCTGAAGAAGCTGTTTTAACAACTTGTTTAAGTTTTTGCTGCAGTATACACTTCTCACCCCCAATATAAACTTCCACAGAGGCAGGCTGTACGCCGGGCATCGGCAAAAAGTTGCCGCCCTGCACAGAAATGGTTGCAGCCGTCCATGGCTCGACTACCTCAGGATCAATTTGCTCGATGAAGGGCGTGAGAGACCAGTCAAATGTGAACGAGTTGATGCCAGGAACCACAGCTGGTTGCGGAAATTCTGGTTTAGGTCGGAGATTCCAGTCGCCAGAAGACAAACGCCATGTTGGGTCTGATTTCCATGCCTTACTGCCTCCTGATGTGCTTGCTACGTACATAACAGATCTATCTTCAAACCACACCTCCACCCAGATGGAATAGACCCCTGAAACATTGGATGCAGGTGAAACCACAACCAGTTGTTCTTCACTTGCAGCAAGCACCTGTGCCTCCATCATGTCTGCAAACCAGACCCGGTTCCTGCCCGCAGTTGTTGAGAATCCATGGCCGAAGATAGTCACATGGGTCCCCCCATACACGGACCCTGCCCTTGGAGTTGTTGAGTAGATCCCCGTTGTAAAGTTTTGCACTATGGGAAACGGGCTACCCCCCCTCGCGTAACCTTTGCTTTTCAATTCTATATTCACAAGGTATCTGCCAGCAGTTAAGATTGGTATGCGGCACCGTATCATGCTTTGTTGCTCCAGCAAGGTAACAATGCAGTCTTTCCCATATCCGTCTGATGAAGTCGGCATGAACGACACACGTACATCATTTGGTTGAGATCCAAATTTCCTTCCGTAGATGATCATGTCCTCCTCGCCAGTAAGCCCAGAAAATGCTGGAGGGTCCACTTCAATAGCATCTACCTCAGGTGTTGCGTCTGCATGAAATGGCAACACGGGATGTACAGTCCTTGAGGATGTCAGAAATTGAATTAGAGTGGATGCAACAAAGATAGCCCGCTAGACATTCTGAATGCCGGAAGCAGCCCTGCCAGAATTCAACATTCTGGATGTCCAGTTGCAGACCACCCCCATGGGCATCACCACTTTTTCTTTCATATCAAGACTTTCATTACATTTTCGTAAAGGATGGCTGCCAACCTCGCAAAAAGAATGGGGAAAAGTCACTGGGATGATTACCCAACATCATTTGAGCATCAAACATCAAAAGAAAGAGCCAAGTATCATGCTCAGTAAGCAAAAACAGCCAAGCATCATGCTCATGAAAAAAAACAGGCAAGCATCTTTAAAAGAAAACATCCCTAGAATGGAAATCCGTTGCAGATGGATCTCAGTCAAACAGTCAGCGAAAAAGAGACTGGACAGGATGGTGGCCAATAGGGACTCCTTTCTCAGAAGATGGCTGCTACACGGCAAGATTCCTTTTTTTTTTTCTTTTTTCTTTTTTTGACACAACACCCCCGCCAGTGTTAGTGGTGCTGATAAGAGCAGACACCGCTAACACCTGGGGAGAGGCTCCATCTATTGGTGGGGAGCATCACCTGCTGGGAAGCGGGCCTAGCGTCCCCTATACAGATTGAATTTACAGCATGTCGGAACAAGAACCCTTCTGGAGGAGTCCTGCCAACATTGATTACCCTGGCATCCAGGGGATTGACTGAGCAGGAGGTAGGGGAGGGGGGGAACCTCTACACCATGGAACCGGTGCCGGATCCAATTGTGACTCACTAGTTCCTCCTTCCCCCCACCCAGTCTGAACTGTCACTTCTAAAGTCGTCGCCTTGCTCATATCCCACCCACTGGAAACCGGGTCCAGCGTCCCATTTATACTTTATGTCGCACTTTAATTGGTGGTTGTGGGTTTCCTGAGGCTGTGCATCTCGTTCCTCCCGGGGCTCCATTGTACCATGGAACTGCTAATGTCACCCATCCCTTGTCGGAGCTCCCCTTATCCCTATGCCCAGCCCTGTTACGGCAGTCCCCCTGTTTGTGCTGTGCACTCCCTGTTCTTTTTTACCTGAGGAGAGGCTAGTCCCGCCCCCGATGTGGGCTCTTCCTCTTCTGCCAATCTCCTACTGCAAATATCTACCTATCTCGAACCTCCCAGGGATTCAGTCTACACTGTCAGCTCCATACCATTGCAGGTCCACCGAACCTCCCAGGGATTCAGTCTACGTCGTCAGATCCATACCATTGCAGGTCCACCATTGCCATCTGGTGGGGAGGGAAGGGATCGGGGAATTCAGAGGGTGGTCTCATCGGGAACTCCTGGCTCACCACTGTCCAGTCCTTGAAACATATACTATAGTCCTTTCTGAACTTTCCCTGGTGGTCACCCTGGTCACCTTGGGTGGGCCTGCCTTCCCATCTGACGGAGGCAATCCAACCCCCATTCTCGCTGCCCAACCAGTCCGTTGAGAATTGCTGGATTGTTTGCTCTGGCTGAATGGAACAGGTTGAATTGAGTTTTAATTCTTTGCCATTGTACCATCACTTCTTGTTGGACGTATTGTTTTATAAGTTCTGTCACCTCTCCCTCTGTTGTGCGGGCCCCCTCTATTGCATATATGCAGCGTTTCCTCCAGAGGGCCCACATGACCGCTCTCCGTCCTGTTTTGAACATGTTGTTTTCGAAAGTGCTGTCCGTAGGGGAGGCCCATGTCTCGCATAGTATGGCTTTCCAGTCCCAGGGCCATTTTGACCCAGTGCCCAGATGGGACCAGATTCTATCCCACCATCGCCATGTGAGGACTGCCCCCGGACATTGCATGAATATGTGTTCTATTGTTTCCGGGATTTTGCGCGAGGGGAAGGCAGTATGGCACGTCTTGCACCAGGGTAGCGTCTGTCCTCTCTGCTCCAGATAGGTACGGTCTATCAACCAATAGTTGGTGGGTAAGCAACGGTGTTCTATTTGCCACTGTAGAGAGGCCATTTTAGCTGGCCTGGCTCTGGTGGCAGTGAACCAGCGGATGGGGCGGATCACTTCGGTTCCTATATTTAATTGTGATCTCCATCTTTCCTTTACCTTTTCCTTTATATTTACTTTGGGGCGCAGTAGGCGGTATGTTGCTTTCACTGTCAGGTTTTGCAGCTTTGTCTTTCCCTGGGATCTGCTTTTCCTTGAGTGAGACCACTGCCAATCCACGCGGTCTAAGGGGAGTTCGACCAGTGGGGTATTTGGTTGATATGCGGTCCATGTGTCCTTATCCCCTGGCACATGGATCCCTTGTAGTTCCTTATTTTCCACCCATTTTGTCACATCCGGGGAGTATCGGGTAAGGGCATTGTCCTTGTGTATGTGGAAAAGATTAATCACGATTTCGTCCGCTCGCACATCCACCACATTTCCCACACTTTTTGGGTCATCCGGTAGCGATACCCAGTCCCCTGCTTCTAGCCGTGGCCCTTTGCGCAGAATGCGCACCCAGTCCAAGGGAATTCCAAACATCAACATCTCAAGGTTCTCTTCAATATTGTGACAGTATTTTAGTGAGTCCTTCAATTGTTGCGCTGTCTTCCACTCCCTCATCTCTGGGTCCCAAATGTCTTTTATTTGGATAACACCTTTCTTAACCCAGTTGGACCACGGGGTAGCCGAGCTGCTAAACACCCTACTATGCCTGTCGGTGATCCTTCTATTTCCGAAGAGGGGTTGGCGCATCACCTCCTCCCACCTGGTCGGAGGGGGGTTGTCTGGAAGCGGGAGTTGACGCCAGGCTCTCAGAACCCTGACCCAAAAATCATCCCGGGCCAGGTCCTTCCGGATTGTTCCCCTATTCAATTCCAGGCCGTCTCGAGCCCGCCGTGGCACAGTCCAGAAGCGGTCTTCCAGCCAGGTCAGCGGGTGAACATTTTGTGGTGCTTGCGGGGCAAGTCTGGTCATCTGTTCCAGCGCTAGGGTGTGCCATGGGAGTTGTTGTCCAAAGAGTAGCCTCTTAACCCATTGCACCATTATTGTCGTAACCTGTGTTTCCGGGTCTAGGATCCCTAGCCCCCCTTTGTTTTTTGGTTGGATCACCGATGACCAAGCTACCCTGGTAATGACATTCTTAAGCTCACCATCACCTCGCCACAGCAGTGCCGTTACCTGACGCTTCAGAGATCGGATGGCTTCCTTGCTGAGAGCCAAGATTGCTGATTTATACCAAAGGGCTGCCAGCACCACGCTGTTGATGGCCAGCACCCTGCCGAATAAGGAGGTGTGTTGGTTCTTCCAATGAGCCAATTTTTCCAAAGCGGGTTTCAGTATCCACTCATCATTCGAAGCCGGTCTGCCTAGTGCCGTTAGCATGATTCCCAACACTCTAACCGGGGCCTCTTCGGGGAGCCACTTGACTCGTGGAAGCTCCGGGGGGCGTACGCCTTGATGATGAATCCACCAGCCCAAGGTTTTATTTCCCCAGTTCACAGTCATGTCCGAGATCGTTGTAAAGCGGTTGAAGAGTCTTCTAATCTCGTCCATGTTAGCCGTTGTGGCATCTACCATGATTGTCAAGTCGTCTGCGAACAATGAGCAGATAGGGATGGCGTCCTCAGGGATGGCCGAGATCTGCAGCTTCCGCAGGTCTTTATTGGCACGAAGATTCGCTGCCAGTGCCCCCATCACAATTATAAAAAGGAAGGGTGCCAGAGGATCTCCTTGTCTGACTGACCGCTGAAGCGGGAAGGCCGGCGCCACCCTGCCGTTGACTTGGACGCACGTGGTGGCGTTGTGATGCAAAATTTCGGTCCAGCGCCGAAAAACAGGACCGATGTTCATTTTTTCCATGCATCGGTCCAAAAATTGCCAATCAACATGATCATAGGCTTTCTCGAAATCGATGAAGACCACGGCTGCGTTTTGTTTGTCTTGTCTTGTGAGTTTGAGGAGTTCGTTGACTAATAGGATATTGTCGTGAATCCTACGCCCCTTTACGAATCCAATCTGTGTTGGGTGAATGATGTCTTCCAGGAATGGGATCAGGCGGTTTGCCAGGGCTTTTGCTAACATTTTGTATACCACTGTCAGCAACGTTATTGGTCTATAGTTCCTGATATCCATCTTGTCCCCCTTCTTGTACAGTAGGGTGAGAACACCCTGTCCGACCAGCTCGCCCATCTGCCCCGTCTCCCACACCTGATTATAGAAGTTCATCAGATCCGAGGCCATGTGGGTCCAGAAGGTCTCCCAGAACTCTTTAGGGAACCCATCAATACCCGGCGTCTTCTCCTCCTCCATTTGCATCATCGCCGTCCAGAATTCCTCCTTGGACAGGGGGCGGTCCAAATCCATTTTTTGCTGGCCCATCAGGGTCTTCTCAAGGGGTTTGAGGAATTCTTCAATTTCTTTCTCTCTGATGTCTTTCTCCCTTTGTGCGCATCGCGAGGTAAATAGATCCTTGAAGAAGGATCTTGCTATCTGCACACATTGGGGAGTGGAGGCCACGACGTCATTGTGACCGGTCTGTGGGTCATAAAATGCTTCTATGGTGGATCTATGTGCGCGTACCTGGGCCATACTAAAGAATCTTTTGTCCATGGCCCCTTCCGTTTGGTATCGTGCTAGGCGTCCTCGGATGCGTGCTCCCTCCCATCGTTGTGTGGCAAACATCTGAAGTTGTTGTTTTAGTGCCTGTGCACCTGAATCCTCCCCTTGTTGTGCCTGTTGCGCTTCATGTGGGTTGTGTGCTCTTGAGTTCTCCCCTTGCTGGTCCTCGGGGTGTTCTTGGTGTTCAAGTTGCTGCAGTTGCTGGTGAATTTCCATCTCTTGCTGGTGTTTCTTTGCTGCCAAAAGTTTGGAGTACGCCTGACATTTTCTTCCCAGGTAGAACAGTCCATTATTAAACCAGTCTATATTATGTTGGATGTGCTGTTTCTGTGTGCGCCAGCATGGCCAACAGTCCGTAATGTATTCCTGGAATGTTTGTTGTTGTAAGATCGAAGTGTTAAGTTTGTAGAATCTTGGGCCTCGATCTGGTTTCTTCCGGAAGGACAGAATGATGGTGCACATTTTGTGATCCAGACCCGGGTAGGGGCTGGCTGGTAAGACAGTTGCAAGAAGCAAGGATCCTTCCAGATCTTCTGAGGTTAGGATTAAGTCGATCCTGGATCTCGTCTGGTGCTCCGTCCCCGTTTTGCATAGACAAGAGTAGTATCTTGTGTCTGGGTTTAATCTGCGGAACGAGTCGAACACTTTAAGTGATAGGCATAGCTCGTTAATTATCTGCTCATCTTCCTCTACACACCCCGGGGCAGGGGAGGGTGCTCGCCATCTGTCCATCCACCGATCTGGGGCTGCATTGCAGTCCCCAGCTATGATGACTGGGACCCCGTTCGGGATATGCGATTTGATATTCTCAAAGAAGGTTTTCCTTTCATTTACCGCTTTGGGGGCATAGACGCACAATATGCATACAATTTCCAGTTCCAAGGTGACTAGAATTGACACCCATCGGCCCTCCTCCTGATCCATTGCCCAATACACGGGATCCGCCTGAGATTCGGGGGGGATCCAAATGGCCACCCCTACACTCCCTGGTTTTGGAGCATTGGCTCTGAAGGCCTTGTATGGCCAGACCATTTTATGTATGCGATTGTGTTCTGGAGTGTCCATCAAGTGCGTTTCCTGGACACATACTATGTCTGGCCAGCTTCTACCCCCTACCCCTCTCATTAGGTCCCAGGTTGCATTGTGCTTTTCAGATTTACTCGAGGCCAGACCATTCACATTCAGTGATCGCAAGTCTAAGTCTGCTGCCCTTTTACATTGGTTCCAGATTCGGTCTTTCCCGTATACTGCTATAACCGGGTCCATTTACTTGACTTGCAATCGTATACGGATCACACACGTGTCCAGGGCAGTTGTTCCCAATCCCAGTCTGTGGCCCCCGCCGTCGTCCTGAGTAGCGCACACAGGCTCTTCTACACGTCGTGCTCCGACCAGGTGTCGCTGCGTCTAATCCTGACCGTCTGGAGGTTCGACAATTGACTGTGTGTGTGCCATTTCAGGCTATTCTCCTTGGTTGGGTGAAAGCGTATGTAAATGTCCCTCTGTGCAATCTTGTTGGGACCTGTTACAATCGTCGCCGTAGCTTGTGCCCCAGGCGGTAGGGCTTCTGCAATATAGGATTCCAGGTGCATTTGCAAAATCCGTGCCGCTGCCTCAGAGGTGCAGTTTTTTGGGTTTGCCCAGAATGACGACCAGCCTTGCAACGTCACGCCCCCTTGTCTGCCATTTTCCACCGGCGACAAACCCACTTCCCATTTATCATTGTTTCTCCGGACCGGGATGAGCAACACGGCCTCTTGCAACAGAGGGCCGGTGTCGCCACCCATCTCGATAATCTGCCTCAGCTTTCTTTTCCGCACCAGGTCGACCGGTGTGTTCTCCTCCGGGTCCGGGGGATCCGGTCCCGGTGGAGGGGCTGGGTGTTTGGAAGTCAGGTCAGGTCTCGGGGGTGGGGTAGATTGTTGCTTATCCGGGGGCACCTCTTGTGCTCCATTGTGGCTCTCTTCCTCTGTTTCTGCAGTGTGTGGTACTTGAAACCGTGCAGCTACTATTGTATCCAATCTGAGCCATGCATCTGCCCACTTTACCCCGGGTTGCAGTCCTTTTTCCAACACGTTTTTCAGTGAGGCACTCGTGTCCAGCATGGGGAATAGCTCATGGTATGTCTTGTCCCAGAACTCGTCCGGGAGGGGGCCATGTTTTGCTTTGAGATTGGCCATCAGCCAGTCTGCTATAGCAACCAATTTCTGTTCCGTGGGTAAATCTGGCGGTGGTGCCCCCTCTTTCTCCCCTTCCTGGTCACACTCCGGGTTCAATCCCTCCGGGGACATGCTTGCGTTCTCCGGAAGAGGGTCCACCTCCATCGGATCCAGTCCAAATGCTGCTTGGAGGGGGTCAGTGTCCACTGTCTGGCCTGCCAACTGAGGCCCATTTGCTGTTGCCTCTTCGATTTGATTTAGCCCCACCGCCTGAGCCCCCGTCTGTTTTTCCACCGGTCCGTCTGTTCGTAATTGTTCCAAATTCTTAGGAATGCTATTAGTTGCATCTGAGTGGGTGTGTTGGGTGGATGATTCCCCCGCCTGTTGGCTTTTGCTCTCTGTGATCAAAGAGCCATTTTGTTCTTTGGTGTCTGCTGCATTGTTCTCTTCTTGCAAGTAACTCTCAGCGGCGGGGCCCGGGGTGGCACGACGATTCGGTTCTGTCTGCTGTTTTTGTACCCAGATCTCTTTCCCGCCTCTCTTTCTTATTGTTTTCCATCCTGGATTCTCTTGACTGTCCTGAGGGGGGCTCTCTTGTCTTTCCAGTGCCTTTTCCTCCACCGGAGCCGGGGGGGTCCATGAGTTCGGGGGACGTGTTCCCCAATCCGATTCCCCGGTTCTTTCCCATACCCATCCTATTTAGGCACCTTCTTTTGTGTGATCCTCAATATAAACCCAGCCTTCATGTCCCGGGTCCACTGCTCTCCAGTGGGTGGTCTTTATTGGGTCCCTCAACAGTCGTCCTGTTGTTCTCGCCCTTTTCTGTGGGTGGAGCGGACACGCATATTCAGTGCTCATATGATCGTAGGCTCTGCATTTGTGACACCATGGCCTCAATTTGTGCGCAGTGTGTATCATGTACTCCTTCCCTCCAACCCGGTACGGAATTACATCATCGAGGGAGAAAGGTTGACCCTAGGGAAAATCCAGGGCCAGCATCAAGTAGTCGTCCCTCTTTGCCACGAAGGAGGGAAGAGGGTCTATGAACGCGACAATGTCATACTGCAGCCCGAAGTCATACACAAATGCAGCCTGGATTTCAACTGGGATATGACGAAATTCCACCCAGAAGAAATCCTGCATCAACTGAGCCCTCCTCTCTTTCGGCCCCATCCTGCGTTGAGGCATCCAGGGGTGGATCCGCACCTCTGACCGTTCACAGCGAAGGCGCTGCCACCCATCCATCGTTTTTTTGTCAAATTCGTGCACGCACAGGACTGTAACCATGGTGTTGGAAACAGGCTGTACCAAAAATTGATCCCGGGCCATTTCCGCACTGTTTTTCAGGACCTCGAGCCGACGGCCAATCCATTTGACTTTATCATTGATTGATTTGAAGGCCGCGTCGTCATGAAACACCCAATTACTGGCGTGTTTCATGTAGACCTCGTCCCTGCATGCTATCCCATTCTTTGGGTAAGCCTTTACCATTACTTGCTTGCCTCCTTGTGTTACGACCCTTGTTTCCGACAGGAGCAGGAATTTGGTCATAAAGAAGGCCCTTGCTGATGGTAGGCCCTCCAGGGGGATTTCAAGTTTCCCGGTTCTGGGATTACCCGGGCCTCGGTGGATGTTGAGGGCTCGAGCCTGGTGCAGGTTTTTGAGTTTGTCCGCCCAGGTAGAGCCTGTGGTTGGCCATCGCTCGCCGTATGAGTGGGGGGGAGGGACTTCGCGTGTTGTTCCATCTCCTTCTCCTCCTCCGTTAAGACCCCTGTGTCCTCATGACTCATGCTTATTTCCTTTCGTGAAGGGGCTCCGGGGGAAGTGTTTTGTTGAGACCATCGTCTCTGTCGAAGGCGCTCATCCGCCAGCTGTCTCATTGCTCCGCTGTAGAACAGCATTGAATTTAATCGTTTGTGTGCCTGTGGCAGTTTGTTAGCCGGCCTCATTGTGACGCGGCGGTTCTCGTTGCAGTTTCTGTTTCCCTCCCTTTTTCTGAGGGCAAGCGTTTTGCAATGTTGGGCAGTTGTGCACTTTGAGTCCCTTGCTTTACTTGCTTTGTTATTTATTTTACCTATGTCATTTATTCCCTTTACCCCTGTTGGTTTCTCATTTGTGTATTTGTTTTTTGTTGTCTTTTGTTGCTTTTGTTGTTTTTTGTTGTTTTCGGTTTACTTATTTTCTTTACTTGCCCTGTTCTTCTAGGCTTACTCCAGTGTTTTTATGTGTTTTTACTGTTATTGTAGTGTTGATCCAGCAGCACCTACGGACTGGTTGGAGTGTAGTAGGGGGGCTTGTCTCGATTGTCTCTCTTACACTGTAACAGTTGTATCGTCACTACCTTCCTTCACTCGTCTTTCCTCTTCCGTCCTGCCTGGTTCCAGTCGTTTCTGCCCCGTGTGGTTCAGGTAAACGACGCTCCACCTTCCCTTCGTTCCTCCCCAATCATACCACCCTTTTTTCTTTCACTCTTCTTTTCTCCTTCCTTAATTCGCTCTTCTTCTCTCCTTCCTCGGTTTCCTCTTCCCCGGTACACTTCGCTAATCCTTATTACACTTCGCTTTGTGGCTTCGTAGAGTGCACTGAAAACGTGCCTTTAGATTTCAACCTCTTCGACCCGTCGGCCCCACCCTCCTAATCCTTCCCTCGTTTCCCTCACTCACTGCTCAGTTCTCCTGGCTTCTTTCGTAGAGTGCTTTCGTCTTCGACCCG